CCACACACACAGCCCCCCCCACAACACACAGCCCCCCCCCACAACACACAGCCCACACAACACACAGCCCCCCCCACACACACAGCCCCCCCCACACACAGCCCCACACACACAGCCCCCCCCACACACACAGCCCCCCACACACAGACAGCCCCCCCACACACACAGCCCCGCCCCACACACACAGCTCCCCCCACACACACAGCCCCCGCCCCCACACACCCAGCCCACAACCCCCACACACACGCCCCCCCTCCACACACACAGCCCTCCCCACACACACAGTCCTCCCCCATCACACAACACACAGCCCCCCCAAACACACACAGCTCCCCCCGCCACACACACACAGCCCCCACACACACACAGCCCCCCAAACACACACAGCTCCCCCCGCCACACAACACAGCTCTCCCACCCCACACACACTGTCCCCCCATCACACACACACAGCCCCCCCCACACACACACAGCCCCCCCCACACACAGCCCCCCCACACACAGCCCCCCCACACATACAGCCCCCCCACCACACACCCCCCCGCACACTCACACAATCACACCCCACACACTACACAGCCCCCCCACACACATCCCCCCACACACACACACAGCCCCCCCACACACACAGCCCCCCCACAACAGCCCACCCCCACACACAGCCCACCCCCACACACAGCCCACCCCCACACACAGCCCACCCCCACACACAGCCCACCCCCACACACAGCCCACCCCCACACACAGCCCACCCCCACACACAGCCCCCCCCACACACAGCCCACCCCCACACACAGCCCACCCCACACACGCCACCCCCCACACACAGCCACCCCACACACAGCCCACCCCCACACACAGCCCCCCCCCACACACAGCCCACCCCCACACACAGCCCACCCCCACACACAGCCCCCCCCACACACAGCCCCCACACACACAGCCCACCCCCACAAACAGCCCCCCCACACACAGCCCCCCCACCACAGCCCACCCCCACACACAGCCCCCCCACACACAGCCACCCCACACACAGCCCCCCCCACACAGAGTCCACACCCCACACACCCAGCCAGCCCCCACACACGCAAGCACAGCCACCCACACACAGCCCCCCCACACACAGCCCCCCCCCACACACAGCCCCCCACACACACAGCCCCTTCCACACATACATACAGCCCCCACATGCACAGCCATCCACCCCCACACACAACCCAACCCCACCACACACATTGCCTCCCCCCACACACAGCGCACACCCACAAACACAGCCCCCCATATACACACAGAGAAACCCCCCACCCACAGCCCCCCACACACAGCACAGCCCCATGCCGCACACACATACATACAGTCCCCACACGCACAGCCACCCACCCCATGCGTCCCCCCCACCCCCCCCACACACACAGCACCCCCCACACACACACAGCCCCCACCCCACACACACAGCCCCCACCCCACACACACAGCACCCCCACCATACACACACAGAAAAACTCACCCACACACACAGCCTCTCCACACACACATACGCAGCCCAACCACACAGCCTCCCCCCACACACAGCCCCCACCCAATACAAACGCAGTCCTCCCACTCACACACAGCCCCCAACACATAGCCCCCCTCCCCCCACACAGCCACGCCCCCCCACACACAGCCACCCACACACAGCCCCCTCCACACACAACCCCCCACACATAGCCACTCCCACACGTAGCCCACCTACATTCACACCCCCCCCCCCACACACACACACATATAGCCCCCCACACACACAACCACCCACACCATACACACTGCCCCCACACACAGCACCACACACACACACACACAAAACAGCCCCCCCTCACATACACAGCTCCCACAAATTCAGGATCCCCCACCCACACCGTCCCGCACACATCGCGCCCCCACCCACACACCGCGCCTCCACCCACACACCGCGCTCCCACCCACACAACGCGCTCCCACCCACACACCGCCCGCATTCGTACACCGCCCCCCCTCCACACAGAGACCCCCAAACACACACACGCCATCCCCCCCACACGAAGCTCCCCCCTACACACAGCGCCCCCATGCACACAGCCCCCTCACCCATACACAGCCCCCCACATCCTCCATGCACATATATGTATATAAACACACTTATATGTATACATATACGTATATACACACAGATATATACACGTATATATACATACACACACATATATACACATACACACACGTATACACAGACATCCATACATACCTACATCTATACCCACACATATACATAATCACAAGGATAAATATACATACATATACACCCACGTATAAATACACACGCACAAATACACATATTTATATGTACACACACACACACACACAAGTGCAGGGAGGGCGGCGAATGTGTGGTCGAAGAGGAGGATCCTGAGACTGGAATGGCGTTCCAAAGAGTGGGGCCAGAGAAGCGGAAAGCCCGACCACCGATGGTGGGGTGGCTATTAAAAGCAAATCAATTAAATTAATGAATTATTTAAGCACGAAATTATTCCACAGGAAAGGATGCTAATTTTTTTTTCAAAAAGTTTTCTTGATTAAACTAAATAAATCCTGAATAATATGATTTACATTGCTTTGTTTCAGTGCTCCCGAGATGCCACCCCACCTGGAGGGCACTATGTAAATCCGTGCAAGTTGTTGTTTGTGCAGTGAGTGAGTGAGTGGCGTGTCACGCAAGCTGACATTTTAGTTGTGTTGTTTCCATCAGAAGCCGGTATCGAGCAATATCCTATGAAAAGGAAGAGGCAAGTCCTGAAGATGGGGCACGGAGGCACTCTCGACAGTGCAGCAACAGGTGTTCTTGGTGAGTGTGCAATTGTCTCTTAGTACTTTTATAGCCTGAATTCATAGAATCGTAGCATTATACAGCACAGAAGGAGGCCATTTGACCCATCGTGTCTGTACAGCTCGTTGAAAAGAGCTTCCCAAATGAATCCCCCTGCCCCGTTCTCTCCCCATAGCTCCGCAAACGCGTCCTCCCCAAATATCTATCTACTTCTCTCTTGAAGGTTTATTGAATCGGCTTCCACCAGCCTTTCAGACAACGCATTCCAGATCCCAACAACTCACTTTCTCCTCACCTCCCCTCTGTTTCTTTTAGCAACTATTTTAAATCTGTTTCCTCGGGTTACCGACCCCCCCCCCCCGCCAGTGGAAACAGTTTCTCCCAGTTCACCCTATCAAAACCCCTCATTTGAACACCTCTATTAAATCTCCCTTTAACCTTCTCTGCTCCAAAGAGAATAATCCTAACTTTTCCAGCCTCTCCTAATAACTGAAGTCCCTCATTCATGGTACAATCCTGGTAAATCTCCTGTGCACCCTCTCCAAGACCTTGACATCCTTCCTAACGAGTGGGGCACAGAACTGAACACAGTCTCTCGCTGAGGCCTAACCGGTGTTTTATAAAGGTTCATCATAACCTTCTTACCTTTGTATTCTATGCCCCTATTTATACATTGTGTCTCCTTTGAATTTTTTTTATCGAATGAAAACCAGGCCCTCTTAATTAAAATGCGATTATAGCGCCTTATCACGTCATCGAGACGTCTCAAAGCGCTTCACAGTTTAGTGACTGTGTTTGTAAGGTGACTGCGGCGGCCAATTTGCGCACAGTAGTGTCCCACAAACAGCCATGGAATAAGTGACCGTTTTTAGTTGGGGGGGAACTGTTGGCCATTACACCAAGAGAAACTCCCTTCTCTTTTCGAATAGTGCCACGGGAACTTTAAAGTCTACCTGAACAGGCAGACAGGGCCTCATTTTAACATGTCTCATCTGAAGGACCACTGATAATACATCACTGTATTGGAGTGAATTACAAAGAGCTCAGAGTCTTTTCTGTTGCTCTTATCTGAAGGCCCGCTCTAACACCTAATAACCATGATGATAGTGACATTGAAAAATCAAGCGTTTCAAAATTGGACACCATATTTTAAATGCAAATTTTTAGAATAACAAATTCACTAATCTAATATTCGTGAAAGTAAGTCTAACGTGGGTAACCTTGCTGATATTGATTAAACACTGAATGATGAATAGTTGACAAACAAATCCAAATCCTTTACGTTTCAATCTTTTTAAATGGTTTCCACTTTATATACACACATGTTGATGTTCCAATCAATATCGTCTCACTCTTCTCATTTTAACATCCTCAGTCACAGTTTAGTTTTTGCTTGAAGGAATTATGTGAGGCATGATGACTGATTGCTTCATTAATGCTGTTTGCGTTCTACGGTGAATATTGATGCAATCTCAGTACATGTGCAGAGATTGGGTTATAACTTTCAGGTTAGCATTTTGTTCCATTATTGAATCCTGGCCAACAATTTTCCCCCGGATAAAAATTGGTCTTTCAATTCATGGCTGTTGGTGGGACAAACAGGCAAATGCTCCGTCCAATCAGTCTATATTTTCCATAAAAGCTTTTTAATCTTGATGTCAATAATTCAGTCATGCAAATCGTCCCCATTCCCAGTAGTAAAGTATCCATTAGAGAAATTTGCAGAACTGATCCTTTTATCAAAAGTTATTTGTGAAATTAGGCAGTGTACATAAAAAGATAAGAAAATGATTTGTGCTTCTTAATTTTTATGAATGGAATGTGATATAAAATTCATGAATTCCTACTCTGCTAACTCCGGATTAGCAACGCTCCAAAATAATTGCAATAAAAAGAACTAATTATTAAATCATGGGGTGACAGTGTGGCTTAATTGGTAGCACCTCTGTCTCTGTGTCAAAAACTAGGTTGTAGATTTCAAGGCCATTAGCAGGACATCAGGACATGAACTTGCATTGCAGGCTGACTCTCCTGCGTGACACTGAGAGAGTGCAGGTCTTTCGTACGTTATACTATATTGGTTAAAATATTTTCTTGAATGGTGTTTCTCCCGGTGTCCCCACCAACAATTCCCCCAGATGAAATGTTCATTCACCTCAAGGCTGTTTGTGAGATCTTGCTGTTGCAAGTGGCTTTACTGTACTTGACAGCAATTATTTGTGAATCGTTTTGCGGGTATTTCAACCTGATGTATGACTATAAAAATTCATTTTTTTTTCTTTTATTACAATGGATTTGTACAAAGAAAGCTTTGCTGTGCCTCTCATTTATCAAGTTAAAGGCCCCGGTTATTGAATGAAAAGAAGAAAAAAAATTACTGCTTAACTCTAAGGATATCAGGATTTTACAGACAAAATCTAACCGATAAGGTTAATGCAATTGCCCATAATCGTTAGTTATTCGTTCAGTGTTATCAGCAGCCTGTCACTTTGTAGAAGCCTTCCTTTAATTAATTTGGGCCAGCAGAATAAATTAACTCTAAAGCTGAGCGTGATGTGAAGTAGGACAGGTTCATAAAGGTGCTCTTGTGGAAATAAAGACTGCTTTTCTTTACTATTTGGTTTTAGTGGTTGGCATTGGAAACGGGACCAAAATGCTCAGTGCGATGTTATCAGGCTCCAAGGTAAGTGAAGCGGTTTAGAGTAATTATGGGGGCGATCAATCCCTGATTTCAGTGGCCAGAGCCTACTGCGTTTTATTTTTCCTGCAATCGCCTGTTTATTTTGCTTGGCTGATGCTCGTTGGCAGAGATCCAGAGTAGAGGCTGAACCTCCTTCACGTTGTGAACTTGAAATTACTTCCTCTTGTCTGATTTTGATTTGTGTCCATCCTCTGCTCTTTCTTTCCTTACATCCGCTCCCTGACCCAGACTGTTTTTCTGTCTGTTTGCCACCTTGCCCACCTCTGTCCCTATCTCAGACCCCCTACGTTGCCAAAACTTTCATTCGTACGATTGTCACTTTGATCTTTCGCATACCCTCCTCGCTGGCTTTTGGCTCCCAGCATCCACAAGCTCCAGCTCATTTGTTGGCATTCCAAACTACGCCACCCGCATATATACCCATACACAAATCTTTGCAGATTCCTCAACCCCGTTCTCACCAGGTTCCACTGACTCCCAGTAGCTTACCCCCCAACCCACAGCCTGATACTTCCGCTCGACTGGCTCCGGCCTTCTGCACGTCCCTCGTGCCCTCCGTTCCACCATTGGTAGCCGTGCTTTCAGCCACTACGCCCTGAAACTCTGAAACATTCTTCCTCTATCCCTTTATGACCATGTTTATGGTCACCTCCTTCCTCACTCCCCCCCCCCCACGCCACCACACCACCATCCATGTTTCTGAAAGAACTCCGAGGTGTTCCTTTACGTGAAAGGCGCTATATAAATGTAAGTGTGTGTCATGTTTTTCTGACTGATCCCTTCTAGCCACATGATCTCTGTATTCAGTGTGTCTTAACAGGTCGATCTAGTGTTTGGACTGAAATCGACTTCTGTGGATTAGCAGCATTCCCCATTTAACTCGATTACTTTATTTTATTGTGTTGGGAACTGAATCAATTTCCTCTCGCTCCAGGTTTCACTTGTCTGCAAGGTATAATTGAAGTGGCCCAGAATTTTTTTTTAACATAAATAGACGAACTTTGTCCACGGGCTGTGCCGCAGGAGATCATGTCATCTTTGTATTAATTTCCTTGGATGGTTATTTTTGATGGCAGCAGCTGTCAGTACAGATACTAAAAGATGCTGTGCTTCAGGTCAGTGACGCACAGTGACATGTGGACTGGAGGCCTAATTATTCTAACGTCATGAGTCCCAGGCACTTACGCTTTGGTCTTGGTAAATTCCCTACCTGGTAGTGAGTGCTGCTGAATTCATAGGCAAACGTACTTGGATGCACGAGCCGTGAAATCAAGACACAGATGAAAATATCCCAGATTAGTGGCGTTCTGCTGTGATCACTGGTATTATATCTGGTGTCAGTCCGGCTCAATCAGCAGCATTCTCGACACTGAGTCAGAAGGTTGTGGGTTCGAGCTCCATATCAGGCCTAATGAACCCATGGTCTAGGCTGGAGCTCCCAACACAGTGCTAGGGTGTTGGAGATGTCATCCTTCAAATAAGATGTTAAATCAAATCTGCTTGTTTAGGTGCGTATTAAAAGATCAGCGATCCTATTTGAAAAGAGAAGGGAGTTTCCTCCTGTGTCCTTGGCCAATAATCCTCCAGATAAAATGTCAGTCACTTCTTGGCTGACTGTGGGACATTGCTGTGGAAAAATTGATTGCCACATTCACCTATATTTTACAGTCAGGACAATTTACAGTAAACACTGAAGCTCTTTGGTATGTCCTTTCACATTGAGGGGATTATTATCGCATTGATCTTTTTTTCTAAAAAAAAATCAACGCTTCCCCACGTAAAAGCTGCTCGCTTCCATGGCAAGGGACAGAAGGGATAGATTCTGTTATCTTAGTTTTTACTTCCCTGTTACAATAAGATATCAGCCTCGGAAGGAAATACAGATGGAAATCTAGGCCGACTTGATTTTACGAAAGATGTTTAAGCAGGAAAGGGTAGATGACGGAAATATTTCTTGTGTAATTCTGGGGAGGGTTAGAAAAGAAAATATGAGGTCAGTGGTGGTGAGGTGCACAATAGGTGCCAGAGGAAGAACCACACAGGATATTAAGTTACTGAGTAATGAGGACAAATTAACAGTTGTAGCAGCAGTTAGGCCCACTTCATTAATTGCTACGGCTTACATATGTGTAGAAGTAAATGTGGTTTTAAAGCTGGAAAAGGGACGGAACTAGGCGTTTGTAACAGAGGAATCCCTAAGGTAAGGTAAGCCTGGCAGTCACTTAGACCAACTCTCAGGAAATCCACCGGGATGCTGATATTTGTGTTGATTTCTGTGAAGTCATACTGTGACCATGGCAGAGTCCTGGTGCTCATCAGAAGATCATTGCCCTCCATCCAAGCGGATTTCCAGAGGATGGGGCTGACACGATCCAGCCACCTGCAAGATGTGAAACTTACAAATCCTTTTGCAAATCTTGCAAATGAGATCTCGGAGAGCATCTGTACGTATCTGAATATTGTACAGTCCCACTTTTCTCCCTTGGCTGAACGTATAATATTTTTCTTGACTTTGGAGATTTTTGACACTAATAACAAAATTGCATACGGTTGATTTCCTTCTCACTTAAAGAATACAGACTATTCTATGCGCTTCGTGACTGTCATTGTGCAGATGATGTCTGGATGTAGGCAAAGGGTTTGTACAGTGATTCCGCACTTTAAAAAAAAATCAGCATCCTTACAATTGATATAGCACCTTTCACATTAGAAGGATGTCTCAAAGCATTTTACAGGATCTACTATAAACTGCAGTGACTATATTTGTAGGCGAAAGTGGCAGCCAGTTTACGCCCAGCAATGTTCTGTAAGCAGCCATTAAGTGAAATAGTTAAAAGACTCGAGTGTTCAGCTAATGTTTCTTTGTCTAATGGGAGCACTGTAGCCTGTAGCAGAATGGAAAACATTACAGCTTTTGACATCCTCCGAATAGTAAAGCAATGAACTGTGTTTAAGAGTGGTTCTGCTCGGCTAATGACCACTGACAGAGAGGTAACTTGTGTTTCTCCATGCACGTTTCTGTCCAAATTACTTATTACCTCAAGTGGGAAATTCAAATTACGTTTACAGTTTTATGGCAACACAGCTGGCATGAGCATTATCAGAGTAATTACTGTCAAGTTATTGCTGACACAAGCAGAGACCCATTTGAGTAGGTCTCCTAACACAAGGCTGGTCCATGACTTTCATGTAAATGAGATGGATTGTTTCACTGGAGTTTCACTTTGTATTACAGCCACCTAATATAAATGTTCTGTTCTTTATCACCCACCTGACAGGTTGTTATAATAATTACAACGATCCTCGATCTAGCATTTGATATAGGGAGAAAGTCACCGGATTTCCTGTGAAGTGTAGTCACTGTATTTTGTTGGTGGAAGTTATCAGCCAGAAACATGAATGACCAATCTCATCCGGATGGGGGTAGGGGGATTGCTGGCCAGGACACCTCTTTTCGAACAGTGCATGAGATCTTTCGGACACAAAATATACAGTCAGTTCACTTTACAGTATTTTCTGTGAAGCGCTTTGAGGAATCTCGAAAAGGCGCTATATCAAATGCAAGGATTATTATCTTTAATGTATACCTGAAGAGGAAGAGGCCATCTGATTTCAGACATCGTGTTGGATAAGCTTTACCTTTCTTTGAACCTATTGTTAATGAAGTTGCGTTGTTGATAAGCTTCAGAGCCTCACACCCTACAACCTTTTCCTCACGTGGCTCCACAAGCTAATTTTCTCCATCTTCCACTGGCTCACCAACCCCCAGCAAATCATGTTTTAAGATCCTCCAATAGCTCCCTGCTTCATTCAGGCCTCCTCCCGCCCAACCTGCTCCATCTCGCCATCGGTGAATGTGCTTTAACCACTTGTTGCCCTCCCTCTGGAACTGTCTTCCAAAATTCATCCATCTCATTCTCTATGGTTTCAAAAGCCATCCAAATCTGTTCACCCGTGTCATTAGTTATCTTCTTCTTTCTTTCCCCCCCCCTCCCCCATACTGAAGACAGGATCAAAATCCCATTCAAGTTATAACCCCCCCCCCCCTACACACACACACACAGTTTGCTGACACTCAGCACTTAGACTTGCACATAAAGAACAGCCTCTTAGGCTGAGCTGTCATCCAGCTTTGGGGAGAGGGAGGAAGAAGGGGGGAAAATAGTAATAACTGTAATCCACAACTCGGTAAAACGGCTTCCATGCTGTTTAATTGCCACGGCTACTTTAGCCACTACCCCATTAGCCCGGCATTTAATGTTATCATACCATAATATTAATCCCAAGGGTGGCATCAGTGAGCTAGCTGTATTCACCAGAGCTGTTTGCTAGCCTCCTGACTGTTGAGTTCTTGATAAAAAAAAGTGTTCCTTTTTTAATACAATTGCTACTAGCAGTTACCACACCTTGCCCTTCATTTTACTCCTCTTTTGTCGATTAACATTCTTGTTCTCCTCCGGTTTTAAATTGGGACTTTCACGTCTGCTCTATTCTTTAAAAATGTCTTGAATACATTTTTCCTCAATTCAGGCCAACCCTTTGTTTTCCCTCCGTCCCCAAGTCTTTGTATAATTACAGAGCTTTGTGAGCTGCCAGGATGACTGCATTTGTGCGTGCATTAGGCAGTATAATTTCAGCACAGAATTTCTCCTTTGAAGTCCACAGTGGCAAACAGTCACATTCCAACATGCACTAGAGTTACGTTTTACTTGAAAATGTATATGCATCTGAGTGGCAGCCATCTATCTAGCTGCTGTTACGGTCATTCACTTTATGGCTGTTTAAGGACCAATGCTGTATACAATTTGGCTGCCGTGTTTCACCCATAAAACACACAGTCACTTGTGTATCCCATGACGCGCTTTGGGATATCCCCTTTACATGAAAGGCATTCTACCAAATGTAAGGATTATATTTTTTCTACATACATACTTGACGATTTATTGGAATTGGTGGGATATGAAAACGTGAATAAAAATGCA